TCTTTCTTTAAGGAGGCGGCCTCAGAACTCGTCAGACTCAGAGACAGATCAGATTACCACAACCCAAACTGAGGCTTTGATGCTGTCTTGGATTCTTACAACAACGACTGTTTTCTGTCACTGAAGCTTTTTTACTCACAAAAATGTCAACCACATTTAGTAAGTGGTGTTTTTTTAGTATTACTTTGTTTTCAGTATTTTGGAATCATTATGTCCTTGTTACTTTACATTTCAACAATCATCTTTCACCCCTTAACTTATCGCCTCTTGTGAATGAATATAGATTAATCGAGTACATCAGTAACTCTACAGTCTGATAATCTGTAACTCTGATATCCACTGTACATCCACGCCACATCAGGTTTAATCCCTGAGTGATGTAACAGTGCACGACTTTGTCTTGTGGAGACTCCTGTGGTCTGAAAACAAGCAGCTCAGTCCGTCCTGCAGATGTCAGAGTGGAGATATTAAACTCCTCTGTGAGGTTACTGCGGGGCGATGAAGGACAAAGCTCTGCTGACTCAGCACATTAGTCCTGCAGCAGCGGTGGGTCGTGACATCAGAGGACAAGGAGGACAGACGCTCTGTGAGGAGCTGATACTCGCTGATTAACTCTGATACGGTGTAATAGAGTCCTAACAGGCTCTGGGACACGACTGCATGTCTCTTTATACAAAACTATCTCATGACAATCAGCTCTGTGTTACAACCTCAATTTTTAGAAGAAATGGAAGCAACATAAGAGCAGATGTTTTCAGTAAGAGCTAAATTTATTAAGACAAAGAAGTCAAATGTTAGAGCCAAGGACCATTGTGTGATGATCAAATCAATAAATACATTTTAAAACAGAGAACTCTTAACACCTTATCTTCGCTAAAGTGAAACAAGAATTGGAAATGAAACCTAAAAACTCAACTATCTAAAGCTCTCCTGTGCAGTGTGAATAAACCGGACTTGGGGACTAAAGGCGATAAGAGTGTTTGCTGTGACGGCTCCAAAACTGTGGAACGACCTGATCATCAGGTCAAGGGTCATCCCTTCTTAAAACACCCTTTTACCTGCGAGCCTTTTAAAAATGTTTCACTTGAATGTTACTCTCTCTCTCTCACTTGAATTACAAACGGGACAGGTTCTCTACCTTAAATGGGAACCCGGGCTGCCCGCTTTGAGGACAACATCGTCAGTACATGAGGCGTGCAAACTAACCACTAGGCCATGGGGTTGAGAGCCAACAGGAGGGGGGTGGAATAAAATGTAAATGTTAAAGTTGTATATTTGGGGGCGTACGATGGTGAAGTAGTGAAGTGGTTGGTGCACGTGCCCCTTGTTCAGAGGCTAGTCCTCCAAGCGGGCGGCCTGGATTCAAATCCAACCTGTGGCTCCTTTCATGCACGTCATTCCCCTCTCTCTCTCTCTCTCTCGCTCTCTCTCTCTCTCTCTCTCTCTCTCTCTGTCTCTCTCTCCCATGATTTCTGACTCTATCCACTGTCCTATCTCTCCAATAAAAAGCACAAACATGAAAAAAGCCAAAAAATAAATCTTAAAATAAAAAATTTGTATATTTGACCCATTAATGTAAAAATTAGATTCAAAAAATAGATCAATTAAAAAAAAAAAACACATCCATCCATCCATTAAATGTTAGTTCGCACCTGACGGCAACCATGTAGGTGTGTGCTGCTTTTTATCAATCAATCAAACTTTATTTATATAGCACCTTTCAGACAAATTAAATTGCAGTTCAAAGTAGTTTATAAAATCATTGAGAGAATGTATAAAAATGAAAAAATAAAATACGACACATAAAAGCAATAAGATATTAGGAGAAGAATATTTAAAACTGTAGTAGGATAAAAAAAGACAACACAGTAATGTTAAAATTTGAATTTATATAAAGCACTGTAGAAAAGCCAGACTGAATAAATGAGTTTTAAGACTGCGTTTAAAAATCTCACATCAAGATGAACACACCTGAACACACCACACCTGTGTGCCTATGAAGTTTGGTTCATCCACTCACTGCTAAAGTCTAAACATGGAGATTACTCATGTTCTGCTTCAAGTCTTTATTACAATAAATTATTATAGAGAATCATTTTATGTTTTTTAGGCTGTTGTATTCTCTTGTGTTGTTCAAATGTGTCACCAGTGTTTGGACTTTTAGTGTGTGTGGCTGAGCTCAGGCTGAATGTGTCCAAACATTAATCCTGCAGCGCCCCCCAGTGGCAGGTGTCTGTAGTGTTTCCTCTGGCTCCTGTTCCATGTTGTATAGCTTCAGTAAACGAGCAATACAGACGCCATTTATTTAAACCCCCTTAATTGAACACAGATGTTTGAACCTCTGCACATTGAAGCACGAGAGTTGACACATGAGGTTGCCTTCAGGGGCTGTGGGGAAAATTTTAAATCTGAACCTTTCATACATCAAGAAAAGAGCAACAACAACCTTTTTAGGAGAAGTCGAAGCACGGCTGCCAGATTTTCTATTCTGGGAAAGAGTCAAGCTGAAGCTGAACAATAAAGATTTAACAGAAACAAACATATTTACTCGAGATAACTAAGTTGTACAATTTAAATGAGCTTTAACTTCAGTATTTCCATTTAATGCAACTTTTACTTCACTACAGTACAAAGGGAAATAGTGTTTGTTTATCAACAGCTGTTCTGACTGTCTTTACAATTTAATATTTTAAAATAAAAACAGAATATTATTAGCTTATTTAACTTAATGCAAAGGTGATTTCTGACCTTTTTTGTTTGAGTTTAATTCGATTTTCCCTCAAGACTTTTCACATAGAGCCACATGGTAGCACATCTTGATGGGTAGCAGTATTCGATGTAACACCCCCGGCACATTCAGGACTTCATTTTCTCGTCTACAGGGACCACCTTTAGCGACAGAGAATGATGCAACAAACAATAAAAAATCAAAACAGAGAAATACCACCGACCAGAGAATAGAATAGAAAATCATGTTGCTAAGTTGAACAATACATGCTAACAAAAAGACAACAACATCCAAAAGCAATTCAAATAAAAACCACCAAAACAAAAAGCATCGATGGATTTATTTGAGACTTCAGCTGTAAGCAGAGACTGTAGTAAAGATTAGTTCAATGTTTCTATTTAACAGCAACATACAGCTGAAGCTTCTCCTGCTAGCTAGCATCTACCTGCCAGCATTAGCTAACGTTAGCCTCAGGCACAAGTTCAAGTTCAAGTTCAAGTTCAAGTTCAAGTTATCTTTATTAGTCAAATGCACAACGTAACAGGCAAAGCAGTCATAGCTGGCAATGAAATGTTTGTGTTCCAAGCTCTCCTTAACAATGCAAAAAAAAAAAAGAAAATAAAAATAATAATAATAAAATAAAATAAAAATAAAAATAAAAATAAAAATAAAAATAAAAATAAAAATAAATAAAAATAAATAAAATAAAAATAAAAATAAATATAAAATAAAAAATAAATTAAATTAAATTAAATTAATTAGCTTAATTTTCAGCAAAAAATTTTAAACTTACTCCAGAAAGGCTGCTCAGTCGACAGTTCTTCATCCTCTTCATCCTCCTGATTATCTCCCATGTTTCTCATCTTAACAGTGTCTCTCTCTGTGTTAGCCATTAGCATCTTTAATGCTAATATTTGCATTGTATAGTTTAGTGCTACAAACTGCATTCTGCTCTCCTTTGTTTCTTTCTTTCTTTCTCGGCCCACAATCATCTAAAAAACATGAACTTATCATTATTTATTAGAGTGAATCATCACTTAAAGGAGAAACTGTTAGCCTTCAGTCGTGTTTTGTTTACATTGTCCGATCAATGCGCGGCAAGCGGCGTAGTTTACGTCACTAAAACGTCATTACGTACGTTAACCAACAGCTCCAAAGTGTTAGCTTACATCAGGGATGGGCAACTTCGTTCACAGCAAGGGCCACATTCATTTAACTCTCACTGCCAGGGGGCCAAATTGTAGCATACAAAACACGATTACAGTCAATGATGTCTCCAATTTAACTCAACATATACCAGTGATCAAATATTATTATGAACATATTTCTGGTTTTCATGACTTCATGGCAGATTTTGTCATGTTTTCTTCATGTTTCCAATGAATTGATATGTAAAACTTAACCTGAGGGCCATGTTGAGGGTTGATGGGGGCCGCATGTGGCCCCCGGGCTGCCAGTTGCCCACCCCTGGTTTACATGTTTATAAAAAGGATTCAAACCAAGTTAAACTAAACCGAAACAAAGCTATTCGAGGTAATGACCAAATTAATTTAAATCTAAATCGTTTAGGAAGGCTAAATGTGAAATTAAGTTAAATTAAAAACTCTAAAATAGCTTTTCAAATTGGAGTAACAAAAACTATCGTAAATCATTTAAAGAAATCGAGTTATTAAGATCACAATCCTGAGTTTAGAGAAAAAGCCTCTGAATCTGTGTTGTGTATACAAACTTTGAGTCACAGATTAAACTCCATCAGCCACAACAACAAGGCGACAGGAGCCTCACAAAGGGTCCCTGAATGCATCATCTTCGCTTTCTTTCTTTCTTTCTCTTTCTAGGAAAACTCCTCGTAAAAATGACATTCAATCCCAGCCGGACCACTACAGTCCAGTTAGGAGTAACATCTCTGCAAGTACGATTGTGAAATCAGCTTCCAGGAACTAGACTAGAGAACAAAACGATCTGTGATGAGAGGAAACCAAAACAACCGCATCACCTCCTGCAGCAGAAGAAGAAGCAGCTGATCCCATAAGGTTTGTGAAGTTTGCAGAAAGTCTGGAGACATTTTAGCAAGTGTTTGCATTCTTTAAAACTCATAAGAAAGTCACATTTTGTCTCATTTAAACTTAAAAGTGACATGAAAATCGTTTTTTAAGCAACACAAACAGTGATTTTGTGTTTTGAATGAGGGGGAAACGTGACTGTGAAGTGGGAGGAGTTACAAAGTGAGTGACTCCCAGCTGCTCATTACACCTCAGACCAGAACAACTGGAGACTGCACACGGAGAAGCTGACAGATGAAAACATGACAACACGAAGTCTCTGATTCCTCCCTGATGTGAAAAATCAGAAACACATCTGCAACTTTTTTTTTTTTTTTCACTTGACGATGAAAACAGTTCAAACGGAGGAGGTCAGACTCACTGTGACTTTTTCTCCCCGCAACAACGTTTCCTCGACTTTGGAGGAGCTGAGATGAGGAGCAGCAGAGCCTGAAGCTGTTTTTCCACTGAACAAAACCAGAGGTGAGTTCAAACATCCGGGGAATCTTCATGCAGATTCACCTGAAGTTATGAAAGTCAAACAAGAGGGATTGAGAAGGTAAAACAAGCAGGTGTTATTGCAATAAAAAAAACCCGAGTAAGACCATGCAGGAAGTAACCATAGAGCGCGAGGAAACACTCAGGTTGTCAAGGTAACGTAAAAGTCTTCTATACGGTTTTATATCGCATGTATATCGCAGTCGTTATATCGCAGTTGTAAAAAACGACTGAGCAACATGTATTCTACCATTTTTACAGTTTTACACTCTTAAATATTTGAGTATCATGATGTAAATAATCAGTGATGAACGTAAATCATATAATCTACTTCATTAATATACTCTTAACAACTTCAGCGTACACGTTGCCATGGAAACAGGCTTCATCAGGCAGCACTTTAAATGTTCTGAGTAAGAAGTGTCCACAAATCATCTCCATGACAACGTGCAGCCGAGATGATCAAAAAAAAAGTTCAATTCTCAGACTCCAATGTAAAAGATTTAATTTGAAAATTTGATGCTTTTTGATTTATTTATTTTGCTCTTTGAATAAGAAATGCAACACTAGTTTTACCACAACTTTGTGTAACCTTACACATAATACCAACAATCATAAAAAATGTAATTATGATCAAATGAAATATCAGAATCAGTGTTGCATCGGGGTATATGTGTGGGAATCAGATCAGGACTGATGCAGCTCTAATTTATTCTAGTTAATTCTAATCTATTAGAGTCTCTGCACATTGATTAACTTCTGTATTTTTTTTCAGTGTGCATCCATTAAAGAATCTTTAAAATGACAAACAAATATCAGAAAAAGCAGAATCTGATGTCCTCAGGTGTTTTGTATTGTTTTAACAATCGTCCAAAAAAAAATCAAAAACTTTAAATCATGCAGCTTTTTTTTAGTACATTTGAGAACCTGAAACACCAACATGTTTGACTTTTTTTTTCCATGAATGAATGAATTTACTGTGAAATCTCTCTGACCAGAGTGAAGTGTGAGCTGTGAATGATGCTTAATGATCTTTAATGGCGTGTTGTTGTTTGTTCTGTGCAGTGGAGAGCTGACGGTGGTCGTCATGTCTCTGTGGATGATCCTCCCCGTCAGCCTGCCCGTCGTCACCATCACTGGAATATGGGTCGTGTAAGTTCAGCATCTCCCACATGAGTTTTTAGTATGTACATCCTGCACTGATCACGATGAACTCGGCTGTCTGTACAAAGGTCAGGGATGTGACACAGAAGACAGTAACAGCTTTTTGTTTATTTAGCGATTGTGCTGAAGGAGATTCAGCCTTGAAATTCCTCCGGGGCTCTTCTTACCTAGCCACTCTTACAGCAGTCACATGTGAAGCTGCTGCTCTATGTTCAAGAGAGAACAGGAAATAAACATATTTTCACTTTTTAGAGGAACGCTCGATGTGAGGTTTGGTGCCGCTCTCACATCTCTATATTCACACATGCACAGAGCTCCAGAAAGTTTCACAGATTTTCAGGGTGCGCACAAACAGCCAATTTGTTCACACCGATGCCATCCAGGATTTTTATTTCTGAGGTGAGCCAATCAAATTCCCCCCAACCTGTGAACGAGCAAGCAAGCAGTGGTGATGAAATGAACAACACATGACCGTCATGATCTTCATCACACTGTGGAAATGCAACATGGCTGACAAAGCTTGAATTATAGCGGTGTTTTAACTCCTCTGGATGTTTGGAGGAGTCAGGAGAGCAATGCTTTAATCATAAAGACAAATAAACCGTCGATATTTTCCACATAAAGAATCAGAAGTCTCTCCTGGGAGATCATTTCTTGGAACACTTTGATTCCAGGTAGTGGATTCTCGAGGTATTTCATGTACTGTACATACAACCCTTAAAACCTGAGATGTCATGTTTGTTTAGGAACACTTTAAGACTTTAAACCCGGGGATAAACCTCTTATTTAACTCAGCGGACTGGAAACAGCATCACCTGCTGCAGGTTTAGGATGTTCAGTGACAGTAATGCGTCACTCTTTGAGAGGATTTCTGACTCGTGTGGATGTTTCTTTTGTCTCTCTCTCTCTCGGCCTCTTCCTGTCTCTCCTCGGTGCGACAGTCTCCTTTTTGTGAGCATCCTTTCACACCTTCACAAAGTGGCCGTGAGGATTTCTTTCACACCGAGTCTCCAAAGGTCCACCCCCCCCCTCCTCCCCCTCCCCATTCTGCCTGGCCAGTTGTTTTTCAGACACGTTGACACTCGTCTGCCACTGCCTTTGAAAACAACCCAGAAACCAGACTGAAGCATGTTTTAAAACTTAAAGTAAAGTGACCTGTGACAGAAAGTTCACTGCTCCTCTCTGAAACTGCTCCTCTGTTTGATCAGGTTGGAGGTAAATCAATTCTTCCACCCCGAGTTTTCCCCGTGTTAACTTGTCAGGGATCAATCGAGGCTCTGCTGCGCGTCACAGTTTCAGTGTTTGAACTCTGACATCGTTTAGTTTTCTATCTTCAGCTCAGTGTGGAGGGTTTGAAAGATCTGATTGTGTGTTCTGCCCAACTGATCAAACATTAGGTGGAGTCAGGGCGCAGGTGACCTTACTGTTATGTCATGCTCTATGTACGGAGGCTGTAGACCTCCAAGCGGGCAGCCCGGGTTCGAGTCCGACCTGTGGCTCCTTTCTCACATCTCCCACTCTCTCTCCTGATTTCCTACTCGATTTAAATCCCAGAAATGGAGCGACGATAGTCTAGCAGTTGTGTTGCACGCCTCTTGTGCAGAGGCTACAGTCCGCGATGCAGCGGGTTGTGGGTTTGAATCCGACCTCGGGCCTTTGCTGCACGTCGTCCCTGAAACTCTCCTTCAGACGTGTCCTGTCTCTCTTCAGCTGTTTTATCCATTAAAGGCAAAAATGGCCCAAAAAAAACTTTTTGAAGAAGCCTAGAAATAAATCTTAAAAAAAATATTTTAAAAAAGTCAGCATTTCCAATATGGTGGACGCCTCTTCAGAAACCAAAGGCTGACGTCATGATTGATCGTTTTTGCCCTGATGGTGTCCACTGCAAACTGGAACAACGGGCATGGTGATCACCAACGCTCTACTGGAAACATTTTCAACGTTTCACATTGGACAGGAAGAAGATTAGAAAAAAGGATGGCGCACCGTTTTGTGGATTTTACTCAAAAATATAGTTTTTGTAAATGTGGCTCCTGATTAGAGCGCGGTTTGATACCACAGGGTCATTAAATACTCAAACTCAAAAGGGATTTATCTTCTGGAAACAACTCAGAACAATTTCATCCAGCAGTTGTTTTCCATATTTCTCTAGAAAAGTTCAAACTTTGACCTGATGTTTTGGCTAAAGTGAGAGTGAGAAGATCTTAAAAGTCAGAGGGATTCATCGTCCTGAAACAATGAATGTTTTTTTTTTTACAAAACTTCATGATAATCCATCTAAGACTGGACTCAAGATGGAGTCTAACAGACAGACTATGACCTCATTCCATTTATTGACCTCATCCCGAATTTCCCCTCTGGGGATCAATAAAGTATTATCCATTCACGTCCCTAACATGACAGGATCTAACATGACTCCCAGACTCTTAATCTGTTCTTATTGTGTTTAATATTATCACAGCCAGCTGATGTGTGTTGGTGTGTGTTGGTGTGTGTTGTGTGTGTGTGTGTGTGTGTGTGTGTGTGTGTGTGTGTTGGTTAATGTGTAGCTGACAGATTAAAGAGATGTGATGTCACAGTTCAGGTTAAAATGCAGCCAGCGGTGTGATGATGATGATGATGAGCTGGGACAGTTGTGGTGTAAAAAAAACCTGCTCTGATTTTCATCTGAGGAAACGTGAAGAACTTTAATCTGCTCCGTTTCTGTCAGCGAAACAAAACTTTCAACACAGAAGTGACGGCCGTGTGTTTGAGTGTTTCTGCTGTTTTAAAGATGGCGTCGTGTTCTTATCAAAGTCACATGATTAAAGCTATGAGGTCGTCTCTTCCTCTTCAGTTCTTTGAGTAACGATTGTTCTCTCCTTCACTTACAGATACGCCATGGCCCTCTACAACCAGCACGTCTGTCCTGTGCATAACTGGTACGCACACACACACACGCACGCACGCACGCACGCACGCACGCACACACACACACACACACACACACACAGTTGTTGGACCGATGTTAAACAAAGTCGAGCATTTAGCAGCTGAACTGAAGTTTTTCTCAGGACTCTACAGGAACAGAGATTATATTGAGTAAATATTTGACATTCAGCTGAAAACCCAAATTGAATGTAAAAGTGTGGATAGATGAACAAACAGGAGGCGATACGAGTTAAACAGCTTTATGTTCTTAAAGTGTTGTGGAGTTTCTCCTTTTTGTTAATGTGCCACAAACCTCCAGAAAACTCACTCACTGATTCTGAATCATTTATGTTCATAAAAACACCAGCTGTGTTTATGTAGCATGAATATAAGAACAGGTCCTTGATGTATTTCATGGTGGGCTGAGGAACCTTTACTCAGCTCCGCTCTTACTGACGGCTTGTTCCGCATTAAATCAAAGAGAGAGAGGAGAAAGATGGAGGAGGAGAGTGGACATGAAGGAAAGAAAGAGCTGCAGATGTTGATACGACGAGAGAGATGTGTAAAGAAAGAGTTCATGAGGGCGAGATGGATGAATGTTAAAGTAAAACATAAATTTAAGAAAAGACGAGGAATTTAAAGAAGAGGAGGAGGAGGAGTAGGAAGAAGAGGAGGAGGAAGAGGAGGAGGGATGAGGAAAGGAGAGGAGTGAGGAGGAAGAGTAAGAAGGAGGGAGGAAGAAGAAGGAGGGTTGAGGAGGGAGGAGGAGGACTGTGCCAGTGCAGCAGATGGATGCATATCTCCTTCAGTTGAGCTATTTGAAGCTTTACTTTAAACTAAAAGCATCTGCCAGTTCATCTAATGAAAGTTTGGTCCCAGCTGGTACAGGAAACATAAACACACCTCAGTACAAAATATCTACTCAAAGTTTATCAGTAGAGATTAGAAACATCCTGGTTAAAGAATTCATACAGATATGTTCAGGAGTTCTTGGTTTCTGACACTTTGACCGGTACAGCTGTCTCCTCATGTAACAGAGTTTACACCACGCTGATATTATAAGAAAAGTAAGAAGAAGGAACAAATGTTGTTAATTAAGGCTAAAGATTCAAAATTACCTTTATTTGTCTCACAAGGGGAGAGATGTGTCCGAGTTCTTCTACCAAGCCATAAAAACAACAACATTCAGCATCATTCACATTAAACATAAAACAACCTTTCCATTTGTTGTGGGCTTCCCCTGGGAATCATATCATGTCACAATGCTATGAACTCTGGGTAATTCCCCCACTCTAATTCTGCAGAAATGCCCACTTACAGACACTCACAGGGGGCATAAAGGGCTCGAGAAGTCAGCGAGAGATCCCTCACACACTCGATGATTTGACAGTGGGACAGCACTGAGTTCATGCAGGATAAAGAGGAAACCCTGACGCATGTACGAGATTATCATCCAAACAACACAAGCAGTGAAGCGTTAAACTGACAGTAAAGACGCGTTTTACTTCAGATTAATCTTTACCGACTGATGCATAAAACACGAGACACGATGCTCAAACATTAAACAGAGTGTGAACACGTTAGCTTACTTTAGATTCATCATGCAGAGAAGAGACGTTTGACCTGATGGAGATTTCGTTTTTAAACTTTAACCCGTTTAAGACGAGTCTGTGAGTTAAGCGAGGCCTAAGAGTGAAGTTTTTCTGCAGACTGACGAGTGTGTGTCTGTGTGTGTGTGTGTGTGTGTGTGTGTGTGTGTGTGTGTGTGTGTGTTTGCAGGCTCTACAACGAGTCCTGTGAGGAGCCGCTGCCCTTACAGAGGGGTCCTGTCCTCTGCTGCACGCTGGACAACATCCCTCTCATCAGGTAACACAACGCACCTCTGCGAGGGGATGTTTTTTTTTACCAGAATCCCACTGTGACATCACAAAGAGAGCACATTTGAAACGGTGCATTTTTCTCTGTGTTGTAAGACTTACGCAGACCACAAACAAAGGATTGGATGGGTTTATTTCACATTTTGTGGGTCTGTAGACTCTCAGGTTACACAGATATATGCTCAAAATGATTTGAAATCGACTAAAGGGAAATTAGGTGTAAAGTCTTGAAACATCCGGAGTAATTAGCAGAGAAAGGCGTGCAGAAGATTAGTTAATGACTTTTTCTCTGGCTGAGCTGTGCATACGTCAGGCTGAGCAGCTGCAGCAGAGGTTTGTGTCTGATGAGTCCAAACTCGCCCGTCTGCGGCTCACCGGGTGGGGGGGGGACCTCTTCACCTCGACAGGAAGAAGAGCTTTTGTTGTGTTGTGTAGCGTCTCCTCCGGCGCTCTTTGAAATGTCTCTCCACACTGAGACCCAAAACTGTAAACAACAAATTCTTCTTCCTGAGAGAGAGAGAGAGGGCCTGCAGGAAACTTCTGTGAGACATCATATTCGCCTGTCCTCATGTTTCAGTTTCACATTTTTCACGGCCGGACCTCCCAGACCGTCGCTTCCCATTTATAGACATTTTTCCTCCTCTGAGCCGCTTTCCAAGAAAACCTTCTTGCATGTTTCTAATTTCACAGAGTAAGAAAGACATCGTATAAACCCACTGTTAGTAAGGAATGTCTGCTGAAGAGCGCAGCACGGTTAAAGCTCAGGACCAGAAACCAGGGGGGGGCGGGGTCTGTAGATTGTGGATCTGACCCGGACCTGTACAAGGACTCAATTGAATTTGAGCCCACACTGACCGCTCTGTGTTTCCTCTGCAGTAAATGTGGGACCCTCCCTCCTGAAAGCTGCTTTTTCAGCCTCATCTGCAGCACGGGGTCCTTCATGGGTGAGTCTCTATAACATGTTCTTATAGCTCCGCCCCTTTACACACACTTTACCCCGACATTACTCCGAGTTCAACGAGGCTCTGTGTGTGAACTTAAACTTTCAGGGTTGTTTTTCCAGCTGTAGTGAGTCCAGAAACCTCTGCCAGGTCCCGCCTGACTGTGAGGGGAACATTTACTCGATGCCATGAATGGTGCATGTTTACTCACCACATGACATGAGTATTCCCCCTCTGACCACGAGTACATTGACTTTAAACCAGCTATTTTAGGGGGATTTCTCAGGTTCATTGAAGTGCAGGCGGGTTCATACTGATTTTTTTTAGTTTTCCTGTAAAGACTCTGAGAATCTACTACAGGAGTCCAACACAGCAAGCTTTGAGTTATTTTAATTCAGAGGATTAAAGTTCATTAAACTTCAAATCTGAGTTCAAATCGGGGAAAAAGCAAACATTTATCTTTCCACTGGGGAACACCTGCAGGTTGACTGAGCTGGCTTTGCACCCAAAACGTCCTTACATTAGTCCAAAGAACCACACTTCATATCTAAAGTGTTTTATGTTTGTTTGAGAGGTCACAGCTGAAGTCAGGCTGTCACACAGACCTCGCTTAAAGGAGTTTTTAAAATCGTCTTTGGTGATTGAATCTCTCGAAGACGCTGATAAATACAAGTGATAACGTTTAGATTCATTGGGTTCCAATCAGTCAAACTCACTGATGGAGACCGTCGACACATCCGACCTCAGATCTTGTTGTTGTGTCAATATGATAATGTGACTGTTCAATACCCATAGCAGGTGTACATTTTAAAGGTGACATCATCCTCCTTTTCTAAAAGTTTAAATAAGTCTCAGAGCTCCTCAAAACATGTGTGTGAAGTTTCTTGTTCTAAATCCACTCTGATCCTGTATTTGATCATGTGTATAAATCCCTCTATTTCAGCCCTGCTCAGAACAGGCTGTTTCTGTGTCTGTACCTTTAAATATGTAAATGAGCCGTGTCTGACCACCCCCCCTCTCTGGAAGGGCTTGGGTGTACTCGGTGCTTTCTCACTCCATGTCCTATTGTTTACGGTGAGAAGGCAGACTCAGGTCAGAACAAACACCTAGCTGTGGGAGTGTCACCCACCTGGGGGAGGGGCTACTGCCCTTTGTGATGTCATGAAGGGAGAATCTCCAAACGGCCTGTTTGAGCACACATTTTCTGAAAAGTGGAGCAGGCAGAAGACAGAGGATGGACTTTTCTCATCATTGGGGGGTTTGTAGACAGACTAGAGACACATGTTAGAGTTACCTTTAAACTTCAAAAAGAAGAGACATCAAAACAAAGGTGGTCAACAGACATATTTGAAATGAAACATTGACACGGGTGTAAAAGGCAGTAAGTCCTGTCTTTAGATAAATAGAGCGAATGAGAGAAAATGTAGATTGTCACAGCACTCTCAAACATTTCCAGAATCGTTCGGTGTGAGCTGCATGTGTGAACACAAACGGACACATTTTTCACCTTGACCTCTCCTGAACTTTTTCCCGCCGTCGCCTCGAGAGGAATTTTCCTTAAAAATATTCAGAAAAAGTTCACCACAATGGAGCTGGCTGGGCGGATGACGTTCATATCACAGAACCAGTACGACCCTAATGTAGGGCTTCTCCACTGCTTCGTCCACCATCTTGGACTTCAGCAGCGTCTTTTTTTATGTCATGTCTCGCCTCCTGAGACTTCTCTAACGAGGCAAGACATGACGCAATAAGGACGCTGAAGAAATCCAAACTGGTGGACGAAGCAGCAGATTTGACCGACAGCCCTTTTGTGGATTTTGTGATTCCATCAAACTACGAGTAGCATTCATAAATGCAAATATTCCTTTTTATATCATCGTAAAGCGGACTCTGCTGCTTCGTCTGCCACTTCAGAATCGTGCTTATTACGTCATTTGACAGCTTGATTTAAGTGTCGAGAAGAATAGTTGATCATCTCTGAGTCTAAGTTCTGAAACTTAACAGGAATAGAACTGAAACATTACTGGAGAATACAAAAGAGAGAGCAGGGATTTATCCCGGGTTATTTTGTACAGGAAAGCTGTGTCTTTAGTGTTACATAAAGGGGTTATGGAGTGTGTCGTTTGTAGTTTCTCACACAGATGTGTTTGTTTGAACGGCGCTGGGAGGCTTTTTGATGTCGTGTTTCAGAGGAACTGGGTTTGGAGAAGGAGCTGCAGATCACGTACGCCTCACAGAGGATTCAACACGACGCAGTGCTGAATGTATGAGGGAGAAAAGGGCTAGTTTATATTTTTTAGACTCCTGTGTACTCAGGAGGCCGTGTCTGTTGTTGGTCCACTATTGTGGTCAAGTTTGTATACAAATACCTGAAAACTGAAGACGCCCCCTTTGACTGCAGAAACATGCTCTGCAACTAAACATCAGTCAGTCGTTCTTTAGCATGGAAACATCATCAGCTTTTTACCTTTTTTTTCTTTTTTTTCTTTCCTCTTATTTAAATTTATGCACTTTAACTCTGAAATTTTATATTTAATGTCTTCTGGGATTGGTTTTGATATAAGCACATTTTACAGCCGTAACCTCCGGTGTTGAAAAATGAAGCCAATGCTGGAATGTAAAATCCTGCAGTTCCTGAGTGTCCACTAGAGGCTGGCTGCAGAAGCACAGGAAGTCACATACACACCCATTCTAAAAAGCCTGTTTTTACAGCAGAGATGAACATGTTTACAGCCTGGTTCAAAAAACCAAATAGGTGTGATTAGCTCATGTCTGGATGGACACACACTGTACGGGGGGTGAATGTTTTGATGACTCATCAGTTTTGATTTGATGAAGGATAAGAGTTATTCACAATAAGGTGTGTAGCTGACCTGATTGACAGGTGGGCGCGGTGTAACGGTTTGTCAGGAGGTTTAAAACCCGCCTCAGCTCCAGCTCTCAGCCTGTCGTTAGGTTGACTGAAAGTTAGACTGAGACAGCATTTCCAACATGGCGGCTGCTGCTGATGGGACTCCAGCGCCCCCTAAAGGAACAGAGGGGTGACGTCACTCAGGCTTCAAACATTAACATTTACAGTTTATGATCATACCACCCATACATGCTTCCTCTTATATTTACTTTTAATGCAAATACAGCCTCACTAGCACTAGGTGGATGACATTAGCTGGAAAACCACCAAAGAAACGTTTCCAAAGACGTCTTAATCAGGTGCTCTGAGCTCTAATAACTCTGGTCTCTTTTAAAAAAAAATTATATTAAAAATATTTTATGATTAGTTTTCTGTTGATCATCTGTAAACAAAAATGATAAATGTTTCTGGAAGCTCAAACCCTGAAAACATTCAAAGCTTTCCTTGCTCTGCTTATGTTCAGGAATACTTTGTTTAAACTTGAAGGCGTGTTGAGGATCAGGACATCCGTCCCTCGCTGTGCTGCAAACAGTGAAACCCTCAGATAACCTGTGTAATCCTCAAAAGTGACCACTGCGTTCTCTGCTGGATTATCAATATGAACATTAAACAAGTCGCCCTGTGCAGCCTGCAGCGTGTCAAGCTCCAGATGTGAGCTGCAGGAACAGTGTGGGAGAGGATCTGAAGCTGCTGCGAGGCTTTGATGAACACTGTGATAAACAAGGAACAAGGAATCTGCTCACACTGAGATCTGCTGATTCAGCACTTTGATGCTGCTGCAGCGTCCTGATCACTGAGGGAAAGTGTGACCAGTAAACGTGTTAGGGACACTTCACAGATCGCAGTGTGAGGACTCAAAAGGAGAAATGTTGATTCCTTTCTATGTTCAGGTCATTTCCTAAAGAGTTCAGACAACTTCTTAAAGTGTGCACAATCATCAGAAGTGATGGAAATGTACGACCAAATTACGACCTGAGATATCTTTAACAAAGGAGCGCTGCAGTTTGGTGAAGAAAATACCTTTTTATTTGTTCTGTCCAAACATCCTGTTTCTCTTCTCCTTGTCATGTTTGTATCTTTCTCTCCTCCTGCAGTGATGCTGATCGGCCTGCTGCGATACGCTCACGTCATCGAGAAACACCAGAACTGCATCCTGAACACGGCCGGTCTCTCCACCTCGTGGATCTGCGCCGCTGGACTCATCATGGTGGGAAACTTCCAGGTAAACCACGTCAAGTCGATCACATTGAGGTGTGTCTCTGGAGGCTTCAGAATAGCTGAGGTGTCTCCAAACAGCAGTTTGTTTTGGTTTCATGCTGGAGCTCAAGGGCGCCATCTACTGGATCAAAAAGTTGCACATTCCTTCTTTAAGCTTTCATGACTAAAACATTGAACTAAAACATTTGATGGAGATGGAGCACAAAAAACGATTGATTGATGACATAAAAACAGTTTAAAGGTGCACTGTGGAGATTTGGTGGTGAAATTTTAAAGTTGGAGAAGTGAAACATTTCTCTGCTATATTTTTCTGAACTGAATAAATAAACTTTATTCAAAGGAAAAAATGTCTCCCCGAACACTGTTGGAGCTAAAAAGCTACCAGGAGAGTTACGGTTTTTACTCTTGAAGACCCCGCACCATAACTTCTTGCATTGCATTTTATCTTCAAACAGTGTTACAGGGAGCACACGTTCCTCTGAGGACAGTTTGTGTTTAGAGTTATGAACACATACCACATAATCTGTACACTATGTACACTCCAACTTTCACATTTCTCTATAAACCACACAGTGCACCTTTAAATGAATAAACCTGCTGCTGTGTTTTCTGAAGCGTTGTTACATAATTTCTTACATAATTAACAAAAAAGTATTCACTCACTCTGTGGGTGATTCCTGTCTTTGTCAGCCTCACTTTCTTTGTTTTTGCTGGAGGTGGATGTTTTGAAGTTTTCTGCAGAATAAATGAGGTGTGGTCTTGAGTGAAGTCAGCGGGGGGACGTTGCATCACCACACTGTTACACGTGCTCGTTAAAGAGTATATATCTCTTCAGTCAATGCTTTTTCTTCTGACACAGATGTAACACATCGTGCAGTCTTTGCAGTTTAGATAAGTCACTTCTTGGTTTGTAGGTCGTTGCCATGGATACAGAGAGCCAAGCATCATTGTGGCCTCTGAGGTAACATTAATGATGGAGGTCAAGGAGCTCAGGCCCTCCTGTATCTCTACACACACACACACACACACAGAGGGATGGAGAGAGAGAGAAAGAGAGAAAGATAGAAGTATTAAGGAGGAGGAAAAAGGTGCAAAATGACTCCATAGGTTGTTCATAGATAGTGAGTCAGAGAATGCACAGCTGCAGGTCAACAGAGAGGTCGCCTCTTGTTCTGACTTTGGACAGATGTACAGTAGAGAAGAAGAGTTACAGTACAGGACATGTGCGTACATGTAGGTGATGCTCAGACACACACACACACACACACACACACACACACACACACACACACACACACACACACACACACACACACACACACACACACACACACACACACACACACACACACACACACACACACCTATCAGTGCTGAGAGTTTTCATGGCCTCGGGTGCTGACGGTGTTTCATGGGAACATGTGCTGACTGTGAAAGTTTTCCAGGAATGTAGTTCAGAATTTGAATGTTACACAGACAGACATCATGTTTGTGTTGAAGCATGAGCCGGAGAGCAGCTGCAGATATGAACTTCAGCTGAGTAACTGTTTCTGCAGGACTCGAGGAGAAGGGTTGATCTGTTATTTCTGCTTTCAGAATGAACATTTTAAAAAGGGATCTAATGGAGAATGTAAAGGTCCAAGTTTGGAGGTCAGGAAGAATGAAAAATGAGACTTTCACCAGGAGAGTGGTGCGTTCAATGTCCCGTGTGCGGCTCATGGTCACATCCACCACATTCAATTCAATTCAATTCAATTCAATTTGTAAATCACATTTCATACAAACGTAAACTCAATGTGCTGAACAGAAGAAAAAAAATAAACAAACACAATACAAACTCATTTAAAATAATAAACAAAAACATGAAAAAACGAAATTAAATAATAATAATAAATGAACAAGTGGATTCAAGAGCACATGTTTGTAAAAGTAGCATGCACTAACCATATGTACACACACACACACACACACACACACACACACACACACACACACACACACACACAAAGACAAACTAGCAACCAAAGGCACGAGAGAAAAGCAATGTTTTCAGACCGCTCGTAAAAGAACGTGAAGTAAGACGTGAACTCTTCTAAACCCAAACCAAGATTTTTTTTTTAAATCTTAGCGCTTTGAGTTTGTGCCCGAGTCAATCCAGAAGGGGGCGTGTTTGTTTTTGTGTGGTCGTCACTCATCCTCTCAAACGGTCCTTTACGTTGTTTTTAGAGCTCTTGGCATTTTCCCTCTTCTGTTGTTTAGATAACGAGTAGAGCTGCCGTATTTCATATTGTCACAACGTTGTTACCATGGTGATAACAAAGGATTTAGAGCTCGCCTTCCATTAGTGGATTCGTTTGTTTATATTGTCTGTCAGAGCAGGCGTGTGTGTGTGTGTGTGTGTGTGTGTGTGTGTGTGTGTGTGTGTGTGTGTGTGTGTTCTGTCAGAGCTCAGTGTGTGTGCGTGTGTGTTCTGTCAGAGCTCGGTGTGTGTGCGTGTGTGTTCTGTCAGAGCTCAGTGTGTGTGCGTGTGTGTTCTGTCAGAGCTCGGTGTGTGTGCGTGTGTGTTCTGTCAGAGCTCAGTGTGTGTGCGTGTGTGTTCTGTCAGAGCTCGGTGTGTGTGCGTGTGCGTGTGCGTGCGCGTGTCCTCTGTCTGCACACGTCTGGGCCTCCCTATCATCATCATCAGTTCATCCTCAGGGTCCTTCATTACATTCAGTGTGTTACAGTGTGTGTGTGGCTGGGTCCTGTCCTGCTCTCTGATTGGCTGAGGCTTCTCCTCCCTTTCTCCATCTTACATGATGAACCTCACTGTTTGAATCACTGTAAACATGACGCCGGCCTCTTTAGGGGCGATTTACTGTATACACACACACACACACACACACACACACACACACACACACACACACACACACACACACACAGGTCACTGTTTACATCAGCTGGTGAAGTTTGTTGATATTAAGAGTTTTGTGAATAATAGACAAAGTTAGGCTGCAGAGTCAGAACTTTTTCTTACTCAGGAGTATGTCGTCCACATTTCAAACCCTCATAACATCTTTTTTTTTTCTCGCTGTAGTCCTTTTAAAACGGGTTAAATCAAGACCCTCTCATGTGTATTCCTGTCTGTGGTTCAGCCTGAGGACCCTACACAAACTCCTATGAGAAATCAATTCCCAAATCTCTGCTCTTGTTCAACCAACAACATTCATTTTTAAATTGTTTTTGTTTGTTTTTAGCTCAGACGATGAAGAGCATGGAAGAAAATTTTATTTTAAGCATCAGTTTGCAAGCACAACTTTAAAACAGAAATGTATTTCTGTAATTGGAATTCTTTTTTGGAATTCTTTTAATAATGATTTGAAGGGTTGTGTTCAGATATTTCAGTTTAAGAAAATGTATAAGAACAAAGTTATCAGACTGTGTGAAAGTGGCAGTTAGTGTGTTTTGTGTGTTTTCCTTCTTATTTTTGAGGAAGTGAAGACTGAATGGTTGACATTTATTGTTTTCTTTTTGAGTAAGGGGGCAGGCAAAACAAGATTTATTCTTCTCCCTGCTCCTTTCCGCACATGGGATAAAGTGTGAATCGTTTTTTCCTTTTTTTTTCTTCAGTTGTGTGCTTTGACATGTACGGAACAAATAAAAAAAAATTAAACTAGAATAAATCATCCCAGAGGAACAAAGACTGAAGGAAAGAGAAAGCTGCATGTCGCACTGCGATGAGACTTTCTTCTAACTGGTCCACATGAGGTGAACACTTTGTACCGCTTCACATGAAGTAACCTTGATGCATCCTTTAAACACTTCTTCTTCTACTCTCCCACATGGACAGAGACCAGTAGCTGTGTGGTCGGTGCAGAAACACATAAATCAGACAGAAGGAACATTTCTGCTCTTTGTGTCTCTTCCCTGTAATTACACCGCTCGAACAGCTGCTCCTCTTAACTCCACGTTCAGGCGGTGACATCATCTTCAAACCAGCTGTTGCTTTTCAAACACGCGTTTCATAAATCTACTTCCTCTATCTCTGACGCCTGATATTACATTATCAGGTTATTTCTTTTCTCTGTGAGCTGGCGTCCTAACAGCTCTGCGCTCGTCGTGTGTTTTTCTTGTTGTAGATTGTTCTGTTCTGTGACGTTCTGTGTCTGATTATCACGCCGCTGTCAGGTCATGATGACCCCCATGTGCATGATAGTTGTGTCTTTATCGGCTTTTGTTGCAATCAGAAGAGACGACGAGAAGAGCTGCCCGTGTGGAAAAGATCAGAAATATTTCCAAGATTTGTTGATCTCAGAGTTATGTTTACGTTTCAGGGTCATCATTCTTCATGGTTTTTTTAGGGTTAAATGAAGGAAAATGTCTCGTTTCATAAAGTGTGTGTTTCTTGTGTTTACTCTTCAGGTGGATTTCGCTAAAGTCCTGCACTACGTTGGAGCAGGAGTGGCCTTCCCGTCCAGCATGCTGTTCGTGTGTCTGCAGTCGGCTCTGACCTACAGACTGGCAAAGACTCAGGACGAGTACCGGATCGGACACCTCCGGGTGATGATGGCCCTGCTCGGCCTCATCGTGCTGGTGCTCAGTATCCTGACAACAAAATGTGTTTCCACAAGCGTTGTAGTTTATCTGTCAGCATGAATTTTGTCCCTTCAGGCTCTCCGTAGATGGTGGTCCTCAGTGTCTCCCTGTAGTCTCAGTGATGTAAAAGAAGAACACTGCTGCATCTTTGAATGTCTCATTTCACTTTAACATCACACACTGACCTTATGACATCACACATTGACCTTTGTTACCGTTCCTTTCAGCTGTTTGTCCTAACCTCCCATCTACCAGAAGGGCCTTACTTTATTTCAAAATAAAAGCAGGGTTAATTTCCAACTGGAAGTAAAGTGCTCTCTGTGTAAGAATGTACAAAACTTCAAAATAAAAGCCCAACAACTTTTAGTTTCAAATGCAGAAGAATGGAAATAACAAAACATGGATCAATCGTGATTAAATTTTTTAATCTTTCAGCGGGCGTATAAATTTTATATCTATTCTTCAGGCTGTATTTTAGGGATTTTCCTCTTATTTTTTTAGCGGTCTGAGATCCATTTAAATATCTCTTCAAAAATAATTACCACGGTCTTGTTTTTTGTATTTTTGAATGATGTTGGTTGAGTCCAAACTCTGGCTGTTATGCCCCATCATTCCTCCAGAGATTGTGTTTAAATTGTTACATTGCCCCCTGCTGGAGAACAAACAGTCCTACATGTCTCACGTCACAGACTTCAGTTTAATAACCTGTTCCTCCCGATCATTCAGCAAGCGAGAAGAAGATTCTCTCATGTCTCAATAAAGTGTCAAAAGCAGAAATAAAACAAATATTCAACTGCAGCATGTGAGTCAGTATGCTGTTTTGGTGATTTTTTAAACTCTAAAATCTTGATCCTGTAAGCAATCTTACACATTTTTCTGAATATTTCTAAATCATATTTAAATCAGCAACTAATGCTCACTAAGTCTCGCTGCATTAAGTAACTTGAACGTCAACATTTCTTCCTCTAGCCCTTACCCTAAAGACCACTGAATAAGTCTGAGGTTCATGAAGAGACGTTTTCCTGACCCCGTCTCTCTCTCTCTCTCTCTCGCTCTGCAGCCGTTGTTCTCCTTAACCTCTGACCCTCAGGTGGAGTTTTCTTCTGCCAGGAGAGCTTCGCCCTGCAGCACGCCTCGGCCATCTTCGAGTGGATCTACTGCATGCTCATCATGATCTTCTACGGGACGTTTGCCTTCGAGTTCGGCGACATGTCCGGGGACACTCTCATGGTTTTGTCCAGAGGAGGAGGAGGAGTGCTGAGCTTCTCCACATCTGGACACAAGACAGAGGTGGCAGTGGGCTCCAACCACCGCCAGCCGGAGAACTTATCGATGCTGTAACCGATCTGCGGGATGTTTTCAGTGAACCTGGAAGACACTTAAAAAAAGAATCAAGCACCTGGAAGCTGCAGCCTGCTGATCCTCTCGCTCGTCACTGCACACAGCCGAAAGGTCAAACGCTGTCCAGCTGAGAGGAGACCAAAGACCGGTACTTCACAGACTGTTTCTCATTTTGCAGCAGGTGCAACATGCTGCTCAAGAAGTGCCTTTTTCTGACCACAAACTCCAGCAGGGAGTCTCTCACACACACACACACACACACACACACACACACACACACACACACACACACACACACACACACACACACACACACACACACACACACACACACACACACACACACACACACACTCGGCTGGAGGTCGGACGCTGAGCTCTGTGTTCGTTTTATCACTCAGGAAGATTTGTTACATAATCGGCTGAACGTTTTTTTTTTACGAAGCATGAAAAGTTACCGTGTGCCAAGAATAATACGCTCACGTCAGGCGGTGTCGTCGTTGTTGTACTTTTTGTATTTGGTGCCTGGAATATTTGTCCTAATATTGAAAGGTTTTTAATATTTTGTAAGTCATTCAAATTATCTTTTTTTATGGTGATTTGTGCCTAAATATCTTCTAATAATGGCGTGTTAGCTCTGCTGTATATGTTGATGTATCTGAAGTCAGCTCCATGCCAAACACGCTTCATCACTGCTGAGAGACGTTCAGCTTCTATGGGACCAAAGTCTACAGTAAGAAAGAACCATCGTGCTTTATCTGATCATATACAGAGAAGAAGTTTTATATAATAAGCAGAGGACCAAAGAATGAAAGCAAACAGGATGTTTCTATTTATCTAAAGTTCCTTCATGTTTTTTTTTGTTTGTAGATTCTTCCGTCTAGAATAAATGAAATGCCTTCCTTTGAAATGATTGTGTTTAAAAATAATATTTGCATAATTGTGCGGGACTGATGAGTATGTGACTCATCTGACCTCTGACCTCTTTGGGGCGGTTACTGGATTCTTATTTTTTTCTGCACTAAAAAATAGTTTAATCTTGAACAGTGAAGAAGAAAAGTGAGGTAACCAATGTGAAACAAATACTCTTAAAACTTAAAGTTTCATTCAGGAGCATTCAGGAGCAGAATCTAAAGTCAGAAGGAGGACATACTGGCTGCTGCATTGTTGTCAGAGAAGCCAGCACTTCAACATAGCATGTTTCCTTAATGATCAGAGAGGAAGATACCTTTATCATTTCACTCACTACACATCTCACTGATTGATCCTTTAAGATCTTTAAATGTTTTAGATCATCTAGTCAAATCCAGCCTTTTTTGGTTATAAATGGAAAAGAGAGTGTGGGGAAGACCTGCAGAGAAAGGACTAAAGTCAAACCCAGGGTCACTGAGGTCTGTAACCTCTGCATATCAGGTTCAAACTAAAGTAAACCAACTGACTGTTCTGTTATCTGCTGAAAATCAAAACACAAACACACGTACTGTATCTTTCATTTTAAAAATCTTTAAAGGCTTCCTATCATCCAGTAAAAGTAAAAAGCTGCAGACACCAGTATGAATCATAACAGAAATACTGACCGTATCAGAAATGAAGACGTTATAAATGTTGTACTGACATAAACATGGCGGCGCTCCTTTAACATTTGGTCGTTCAGTCAAACAGTTTCAGTGTGACGAGACGCTGCTGCACTGGATCTCTGGCACAGAAACATCAGTTTAGAGCGCTCGCATTTCAGCTCACTTTGGAGGAGCTGCAGAGTCGTAAATTACAGATGAAAGCTACACACACACACACACACACACACACACACACACACTCACACACACACACAAGCACACACAAGCACACACAAGCACACACACACGCACACACACAAGCACGCATACACACACAGCTGCCTTCTCTTACAGGGTTACAGGAGAGCAGCTATCTATACACCCTGCATACAAACAATCTCTGTCACACACACACACACACACACACACACACACACACACACACACACGCACACACACACACGCACACACGCACACACACTCACTCTAGAAGTTTAAGTTCTTTGGGACCTCCCAGGGAAAGTCCTTCCTGCCAAAGTGTCCGTATGAAGCCGTCTTCTGGTAGATCGGTCTCTTCAGGTCCAGGTCTCTGCAGTAGTAGAAAATCCTGCTTTAGTTCTGCTGTGTCTTTTTAAAAAAAAAAT